TCTTCTTCTTCTTCTTCTTCTTCTTCTTCTTCTTCTTCTTCTTCTTCCTCTTCTCTCTCCCTCCCTCCCTCCCCCCCTTCCCTCGTCCTTTTCCCTGTCTCCCTCTTCTTCCTGTGCTCCTTTTTGGTGGGTCTTATGTTTATGCCTGTTTTCCACCCTTTCCACTCTTTTCTCCCCCTTTCCCCCTTTCTCTACTTTCTTGGAAGGCTTCTTAGGCCTGTCCACTACTCTTCCACCGGCTCTGCTTCATTAAAAGAATGTGCACTGCTCTGTCCAAGGTTCTGAACCTCTTCTTTCGCCTCTCCTTCACTTTTACTGTGTAGGGAAGGAAAGCTCTGCAACTTTGGGTAGATTAGGCGATTCTGTAAAGGAGCATAACTATTTCCCATTCACCCTACCTACCCTCACAAGTCGGTTCCAGTGGGGAAGGTTTTATTAATTAGTCTTGGTAGTAGTGGGTCTGTTTTTCTTCAGTTTCTATAAGAACTAAGGGTTATGTTTTCAAGATAAAAGGCAGAAACTCAGATTCCACAGACAAAACTGGACCCCTGGGTCACTAGTCTTTTCTTAGACTGAATCAGATGTAGACTGAACCTACAGATTCAACATCTAGGCCCTGGATGCCAGAAGTAAAATGGATCACTAATTTCACCTGGGTGGGGAAAACTGTCCTGCATTCCTAGACTTGGAAGGGAAGCTACTGAATCCTCTGTGTTGATGAGTAATAGTGCCCAGAGCTAGGTGTGGAATCTACCCATCTCTAGTCCATTCCCTCCCTTTATCTAAAGTCTGTAACTAGTAGTAACTGTAACTAGTAGTAGGTATATTTGCCATATTTGAAAATATGCTAACCTTGGAAATTATCTTGGCTTTGAGATTTTGGTCTATGTGACTTCAAACAAGTCACATCACCTCTATGGGTAGACCTTAGTTTCCTTATCTATACCTCCAAGGATGTTGTGATGAAAATAATCTGTAAGTAATAAAGTTATGTATTAAATGTTATTATTCTTAACTTTTAGTCTGAATATTTGTGACCAAGTATTTCCTTTTGCAGTTTTCATCTTGAAAGAGGATTGGAAATTTATTCTTTTTAAAATTACTTCACAAGTTTAAAAATAAATTTAACAACTGTTAAAAAGCAATGAAGTTCATTTATAAGCCAAAGATATCTTCCACACTGACAGCTTCCAAAGCATAGAAGGTAAAGAATGTCTTCATTTTTCAAATTTATTTTATTGTTTATGTTTTCAAAGCAGGGCTTTAAAAGTCATCCTATGTAGATGAAAAGAAAATCCTCTGCTTTCAATTCTGACCAGGTCTCTTCTGGATGGAGGAAGGACACCTGGTGTCTTTCCTAACTGTCTTGAGAGAAATTTCATGCTGAGTTCCCTGAAGCCCAAAGACTCTGACCTTTAACTAAATATCAAAGTCTAAAAGTGACACTTGGAAATATACATACATAGGAAATGCATACCATATAAATCATATTATACATAGTATTAAAAAGCAACTGCAGACTCATTTATAAGACTATAACCTACAACAAATAGCTGTATATTGTCTAAAATCTCTATCTATAATATATACAACAGTCATTTATTTTCAGTGGCAAAAAAGAAAACACTGCCTCTTTTACTTGTCTATGTCATGTTCCCTACTGAGCCTATCTTCTGCTCTACTTCTCTATTTCCCATTTTCTCAAGCTTGTGAATTACACTGAGTTGTTCAGACACTTCTCCATTGACCTCACTTCCATGTGGAATGAAGGAAGAGAGGAACAACAACAACAGCAGAGACAACAAGTAAAGTAATTGAGACACGTTTTTGAGGATGAATCAAAAAATGTAGAAAATAATATTCATTTTACAAATTTGAGGCTTAAAGTTAAAAAAAAAAAACACTTTACAACAACCCAGTGAACTAGGAAAAGGGTAAAAGAATGAAAAGTGGTGGAAAGATGAGAGAACAAGTATCTATGCGTAAGGCAACACACCAAGTCACTCACTAGAAAAATCAAATTTCCAAAGAATAAAAACAAACAAACAAAAGAAAGATATCCAAAGAACACTTATCAGATTAATGGGAAGGTCTAGTCAAAAATCCCACCAAGCAACATCAGAAGTATGGGATTCAAGTTCATATCACAGCAAGGCTCCCTGTGATCTCAAAAATGACCTGGAGTTAATATTTTAACTTACATAAAAACTCATGCAGAACTACAGAGTCCAAATGGAAATCACTTATCTTTAGAAGTCCTAAGGTTACATACTGAAAATCAGCAAATTGGTTATTATTTTAAGCAGGAACAGTATTTTGTCCCATAATCAAAATTAAATACAAGAGATAAGGTCTTCCAGAAATTCACAGCATGAAATTTAATCCTCCATGGTACATCATTAATCATAGCCAACCCCACTCCCCCAACTCAACCTCTTTTCATATACAGTGTGGTAGAAGAAAAGAAAATGGGACTTGGATTCAGGAGAGACCTGGGTTCAAATCTTACTTTTGAAATTTTATGGCTGCTTTACTATAGGCCAATGTCTTCAGGTTGCTGAGCCTCTATTTCCTCATTTGTAAAAAGAGGTGTGAGTCATACCTACCTCATGGGATTTTTGTCAGGATCAAATGAGATAATGTTCATAATGTGCTTTGCAAATCTTAAAGTATTACATAAATTTTAGCTATTAAAATTATTACCTTTATCACTCAACTTAAAATATATTTTTCCCAATCATCACAAAACAGTCTTGAAGACAGAAGGAGACATTTTGCACACAAAATAATCTTCCAATGAACCTCTAAATATAGTTAGATTACTTCAACATAGAGGAAAATTTCAATAACTACTTTTTCCCATTGTGACAGTTGAATATTCTTAACTGCTTCTTATTAAAGTCACTTTTCATACCTGATTATTTGATAAGCATCAGTGGTTGAGAAGAACACAATAAATGAGAAGTCATTTCTGAAAACCTTTTTTGTAGGCTATTTACTATAAAGATTTGATTTCTCCTAGCACTGTTTATAGCCAAATGCCTAACAGGCCATTTTTCTTTCTCATTTCATGTGATCATATCTCTGAGTAATAAAGCTTTTTCTGTTGGTTTTGTTCTTGTTGTCATTTATTTTCCCTGGACACAATCCACTCAATTCACTGGTAGGTCATTGAGATCACTTAGATGCTCCAAAATATGGTAGGTAGTCATTTTAAAATGATAATTCCAGGACATTTTTGGCCTACATGCAAGCTAAGCATTGTAGGTAATGCTGAAAGCTATATCCAATTCAGCCTGCCTAAGCATGATTTATATTAGCTATAAGGTTTTCTCATATATAGAAGAGAATTA